ACTGCAGAAGCAAACATTTATTTTCTGGCCAGGCCGTGTATGTCAAAGCTGACAGATGTTCTTTCGAAGAAGTTTTGGTTTGACAGTTTCAACTGTCCAAAGATTCCATTAAATGCAGGTTAATACTTTTTTTTGTTTTGTTGTCTTTTGCTTTACTACTGGTAAAGGAGACATATAATCTTCAAAGCGGCATCTTAAGATTATTCATCATAAAAACAATGTTACATTTACTGGTCAATGATTATTTTCAAGCATTTTTGTTCAAACATCCTCTTCACTAAGTTCAGCAAGATGAATTGCTGAAGTTTCCTTTTGATAATCTTTAAACAGAGAGGGTTTGATGCTTTTCGCATTGTTCTACAAAAGATGGTTTGGAAATATAACTTGTTTTCACTGATTAGCTGTCAGTAGCTCTTGGTTCTTATTTAAACTGTTACACTGCAGCATCAGTCATTTATATTTGGCTAATGTGGTGCTTGCATATTAATTTGAGTGGCATCATACAACAGCCCACAGTACTGTACAATATTTGTACTGCGAGTTACACATAGAGACCTGCAGATTGCAGCACAAAGATTTTATTTTAGACTCTACATGCACAAAAACACAAAAGTACAATATGAGTAAGATAATTGTGAACATAAACAGAAAGTTAATCAACTTTTTTTCATTTCAGTCATTTCTATAAACTAACCTATATGACACTTTAGATCATATTTATATATCTCTTTCCTTCTGTCTTTTTACAATCATACTAAGGTCTCTGACAGAAAGGGGAAAAAAGTGTAAAAATTAAATTGATCATTTTGATTTGCTAAAAAAAATCCTACGGCTGAGCTTCTAAACAGCCTAAGTTAAGTCATCACAACTAATTGATGAAATTCAGTACCAAATAAAAGCACAATTAAGTTTACTAAAACATCATGGACTGACAAAAAACTGGAAAAAGGTGGAAAATCAATTGGAAGAGCCCTCAAAGGACAAGAAGATCCCTAAAAACACTTCAAGGAGACAAAGCAATAAAAAAGAAACTCCATCAAACACTCCTAACAAACAACAGCAACAACAAAACGTTATTGACTTGCTTGAATACTTAAGTTCCCAAAATCCACCGATCAGTCGACTAAAGAAAAAAAAAAAAAAAAAAATCACAAAAACACATGAGCCAAAGTCACCAACTGAGGGAGTTTATGTGACATGTTTCAACAGTCTGCCACATCTTTCCTTATTTGACAATGACTTTCAAGGTCATCATGCTTTTACAGACAGCCTACATTTCATTCTGCCAAGTCTGGAGAACACAATATGAGGAATTGGTATAACTTTAAATTGGAGTTTAACATTATTCCGGGGAACACTTACTGCTGACATCTCTGCAAATTAGGGCTTATTAAAGGTATCCTTAAGACAAATAAAAATGTGTGACATGCATTGGACAGCATTGCCTCTTATTTGCAACTCATGATGTTTGTTTGAATTTTATTTGAGTAAATGTGTCCACAGCATCAGAATCGTATAATGCTCCTGATGCCTTTTTATTTAGTTATTGGTTTTTAATTTTTTCACGTTCTGGGATCTGTATTATTCTGTTTTTTAATGCTCCAAAAAATGTCTGGGTAACAGTCTTCTGTTTATGTTCCTTTGGAACAAAAACAGGACCGTCCTATAAGCAAACCTGGCCATTGCTTCAGATCTCCTGCGGTCCTGGGGCCTTCTGAAGAATTTTAATTTTTACATCCTACTTAGAACCCACTTGTGATCTTGTAATGGTAAATATAAATACAACATTTTATAATAACTGTTTTAGAATAAATTCTGTTGAATGTATGCATTCTGTAAACAATCCTTTTTGGAAAACATCCAGGAGTTATTGACCTGTTAGTAAATGCTGAGCTGTACTGTAAATGGGTTGTTATTTTTACCGGGTTTTTTAGTGCCTGAGTGCATTCTGAAACTAACAGATGTGTATGTTATTTCAAGGGAATTTATTTTCAGCTCTAATGGTTTCTACAGAGTTTCACTTGAGCAGGTGTGGTCTTCGGGGTGCAAGGAGTCAGAAAGTGTCTTTCTAAACATAAGTTATTTTGAGACATCAAGGAACTAAGACCTTCCAGAGAATGAAACAAATGTTCAACGATGTTCAAACAATGCTTATTTTAAGTTTTTTTCTTTTTTTTTTAAAAATGTGAGATTTGATTAAACAATAACGTATTCCACATGAAATCTTTTCTTACGCAGATATTTTGTTCTTTTTTTCCTTTGATCTGTTTGGCTGTATATTCAGTACAAACTTATATTTTCAAAAAAATTCTGATCTTAAAAGCATAATTAATAAATGATCAGTGAAAAATTAAGACAGCAACACAGTGCCTTGCAAAACTATTCAGAGAGACATTAAAACCATAAGCTTTAATGTGTTATACTGGAATTTAATGACTTGTTAACGTTGCTTGCAAAAATATAACTTTTACAAGAATCTTACAATTACATCAAGTATATATATATATTTCATTTTATTGATACACTAATATACAGTGCTTTACCAAAGTTCTAGTATGAGAAGAAATCACAGATTGAAATCATTTGGGGGTTTGCCTTGTTATTACTGCTTTTAAAGGTTTGCTAAACCAAAAAATCCCTCCAGATGTAATAGCTTTACACCTGAGCTTCAACAGTTGCTAAAATAAAAGCATATTAGCAGTTCCAGAGGCTGAGGTGAAAGACATAACTGTCTAAAAGGTTAAGAACATTTTAACAATTTCAATTTAAATTGACCAAAAATGAAAAGAATCTTATCTGTAACTGATATGCTGCACTTTATTTCATACATAAATGTGTTAACAATGCATTTCTTTTTAGAAAGGAAACTTTGAAGAATATACCAAACTTCAGGGAATTAATTTGACAGTTTCAAGAGAAGCGACAGAACATTGGTAAACGTTTGGTCCATATACAATGTTTTTTTTTAATTAAAACCCCAGTTTAAATGCTCACAAAATTAAATGATAATTATATGTATTTATAATGCAGCCTAATGAAACATAATATTAACATGTACATAATATACAACTATAAATGAACAAAAGGCACAACCAACAGAAATGAATCAACATAAACTTGTTTTTTTTTTTTCAATCTCATTTAGTTTAATTCTTTTCTTGCTTTTCTTCACACTGAGGTTCTTCAGTTTCTTCATCTGGCAAGGGAGTTAAGCATGTGTGAAATACTGAAATAAAAAAATCACCACATGAAAAAGAACTTAATTACAAAAATTTTTACATTTTAAAAAATGTTTCATGACTCGCTGCTAAATTATAGAACAAGAATTTAAAGCTCGTTTTATGATAAGTAATTACTCCCTGATAAGTAACAATTATTATATATGTGTTACACATAACACAAATATATACATATGGTGCTAACACAGGGTGCCTAGAAAGGATCCTTTAAAAACTTAAAGGATCCTATAATAATAATAATAATAATAATCAAATTTCAATGCTTTCAAAATTATAGGAAAATATTATATATATATATATATATATATATATATATATATATATATATATATATATATATATATATATAAAGGCATAATCAGTATCGACAATTGCGTTTTAATTTCAATTTTAAATGTTTGACCAGGAACTCTCTTCATGCTCACATTCTTCAATGTTTCTTCATCTGAAAAAGAATGATAAAAGACAAACATTACATTCTAAACCATTGAACAATAAAACTACATGGAATAAATAATTTATTCACAACTTCAGTTTTCAAAAATATTCATATTTAATTATCTCTCATCAAATGGACTTATTGAAAACTGCTTGAATTATAATCTTAATAATATTCTTAACAATTTGAAACCATTCAAATTATATGAATGAAATGAAAATTATACACTGAAATGAAAATTAAATGAAGTTAAGTTAAAATTAAATGAAGTGAATTACACTAGAGGGAATTGAATTTGATTAAACTGAATGTTGGAACTAAATTCTGTAAGTTTTATCTCCACAATGAACTCTTTCAATCTATGGAGTCTTTCCAAATTGATCTCATATGAGGACATTTGACAATTTATCATACATACTACTAACTTCACCACAGTGACCTACTTAAGACCTTTACTATTTATGCATTTCTCTGTGTTCATTAGTTTGTTTAATCTTGATGAATTAGAATTTAGTTGCAATGATAAATAAGACTACACACAATTTGGGAGTCATAAATTCATTGTTTGGCAGACAGCAGTTAGCTAATGCATTTTAAGCTCATGCTTGTGAATACGCATCATCCCATTTATTTTTATAGAAATGCACAGTCGGAGCATTTTACCTGATGTAAGCTGAAAATCACATTATAGGAGAGAGAGAATATGAAGAGGAATATGAAGAAGGAGGTTGCTGACCACAAGCTGCTATAGTCATCTTCAGCTTCCAAAATGCAAGAGACTGTCATATTTGAAAAATCTAAAGAAAGAAAGTTGGATTATAGATTATTAGAAAGAATGGAGGGTTATTCATGTGCATCCAATAAAAAGTTCAATTCACCTTTCACAACTAAATAGATCTGACCAGTGTACAGTTTGAATGATAAGAAAAGTGTGTATTGAAATGTTTTCATTCAGACATAATGCACAAGTGTCTCCATGCAACATTTATTTTGAAAAGTATGCACACTCATTAGACAATTAGACAGTGCAACAAACTGAAACAAAACATGCTCGCAAACAAAGCATTTGAAACATTGATGTATACATTTTTTTTTTCTACTCACAGTTTACCGTGACAATAAGACAGTGCACAAGACTTTCACAAATGGCAATGCACTTACAGACACAATGAGACAATGAGAACACACTTAATTGTGTTCAGTAGAAAACACAACATCTAAAGAATTTAGCGACACTCGACTGCATTACCTCCGGCATTAGACACTTGTGTGGGATTAATCTTATCGCTTCTACCAGCAGGCCAGACGTTGCACACAAACGTGTATTTACTCTCCCACTTTTTCTTGGTGGTGGTGTACAGACTTGTAACTCTGTAATGATCATCATGCTTCTGTGGGAGAAATGTTACCCCATCAGTGTAGACTCCATTGTTTTGCCCAACATATTCTGACCAGGCGATGTAGAAATCCTGCTTCACGGAACTGGAAACCAAACATATGAGAGTGACTTTATCCACAATAAACTCGTCAGGGAGGATGTGGAGAGTCACCGTTGGCTCTTTTCCATCTGAAAAAAAAAGGTTCAGAAAGGAAATCTTAATCATTTTATTGACAGTAACTTCCATGATACAATATTTGTCTGTCTGCTGTTGACCAAGTTTTTTTTTAGTTTTTTTTTATCTCTCTAGCGAACCTACCTCCTTTTTGAACAATTATCTCTTCGGTAACTGGTGACACATGCTCTCCTTCTGCAGAACACCTCACTTTCTCAACAGTCAGCCAGTCAGAGAAACTTTGAGTTAGTGTGCTTGTTTTTTTGTGTATGGCACCTTCAGACTTAATTTCTTCTGTGGTACTGTTTCTCTGGTTTGGTCCCTCAATCTCCCATCTGATCTGAGTCTTCTGTATAATTTCTCTGTCTTGTCCAGCAACAACACACTCCAACTTTGCCTGTTTGTTGATGAAGATTTCCTTCGGACTTGGTTGTTTTAGGTTCACTGTGACAACAGCTGTGAAAAGAATAATTGTTATTTATAGGAAGACAAAATCTGTTTGCATTTTGTATACTTATTTTAAAGGATAAAAATCTTTTACCTTTGGATGCTTTCTTGATGTAGAGATTTTGCATGTGTGACACCTCGCAAGAGTAAACAGCCCCACTGTTCCAGTCTGTATTTGAAACCTCAAGAAGACTGACGGTTGAATATGTCCCTCCATTCAATTTTGGGTCCCAGTCTTTAGCAGATATATCTTGTCCATTCTTTTTCCATTTCACTGAGATGTTTATTGGGAGGAAGTCCTCCGCGGTACAAAAGAGGACCTGGCTGGTTCCTCTTGGTTCTTTCAGCAAACTAACTTTTGGAGGTGATGGTTTGTCTGAGAAGGTGTAAGAATCAGGGAATTAGCTTGCATTTCACATTGAAAATGTAAAAAAAAAAAAAAGTTAATCCAAACCATTTTAAACAGTCATATTGATTATAATAAGAATAATAGATATAATATAAATCAGTTTCACAATATGAAAATACGAAGTAGAGGACATAAGTGAACTCAGCTATTAAATAAATAAATAACATACTTTCCACTTTTATACTTTGATTATCCACAAGACACGTAAAAGACTTCCAAGAATCCCAGTCAGATTTTTTTACTTCAATGGAACTAAATCCAACATGCATGTTGTTTCCTGTAACTGGAGGATATTGGACTGAAGTTGGCAGTGCCGTTCCTGCCGCATCAGTCCACGTAATTGCACTCATCGGGTTGAAATTATGTACAAGACAGCCAACGGTCAGCTTGTCTCCAAGTGCAGGGCTACACTGAACCACAGGAAATAAACTTGGTGCAATGCCTGTAAAACAAACAAAAGAAACACTTTGTTTCACATAAATATAGATCATTTATTTATTTTTTCCTCTATGGCCTATGATTTTCTTAAATTAAAACATACATATTTCTGGCCCTCTTAATAAAGACAACATGAAAATGATTAATAAAATTGAGAATGTTTTTACATCTGATGTGGCATAATTTTAAGCCATGGTAAAAATGTTTCAAGCAATAAATCTTCTAACTCTCACCAGAGTATTTAAGCATTACTTTACATTTTTTATTTACTGCCTTAATTTATTTGATTAAATAAAAGACATTTCTATCCCTTGTTTTCTGTCGTGATTCAGATACCGCTATAAAATCATGAGCATCACTGTGAATATCAACAGATCACAATTAAAGTTGAAACATGTTTGGGTCGCTCACTTTTTTTTTTGTTGAACCAAGTACAACAGCAAAAAACCCGAACAAGGTTAAATCATAGCTTCCACCAGCCATTAAAACTAATGCTGGAAGATTTTAATAAATATGGTCTTTCAATAAAGACCATATTTAAATATCTTAAATATGGTTTTTAAGATATTTAAAGACCACATTTTATGGCCATTAAATATGGTCTTTAATGACCATAGTTTTTGTTTGTTTTGTTTCATAATTAGTTTTAATCAGTTTGACATTCCTCATTAAAATCTTAATCTTCCAATATATATATAGCACAGATGCACCAACAAACCACACTAAAATTGTTAAATAAATGCTACAGACATAAACCACTGTTTGCATAAACATAAAATAACATAAAATTCTCTAACCTTTGACATGGCTTGTGAATATTATTTTAATTTACATATCAAATATATTTAATTCCATATTGTCATCTTCCTAAAAAAAATTACACAAGTATTTTATAATTATTTTTGCCACAAGTGATATATTACCAAAAGGCAAAAAACAAACAAATAAAAATAAAAAATAAAAAGTCACTTACAGAAAAAAAAGTGAAAAAATATAACACTTGTGGAAAAAAAATGACTTTAGCCATTATTTTAAGAAGATGGTGAAATTATTTTTCAGAACGCATTTCTAGTGACTTGAAACACAACTCGCATTTCAGTGCAACTGAACAGATGTAACTGCTAAAGCAAGTTACATCTGGTTTAACCTATGACAATTTTTAACAAAAAGAAAGAAATACAATTTAGGAAAACTAACAGAAAATGGTATCTTGCTGGTAATTTTATCTTAATCCACTATGTATACATGCAAACAGTTTGGGAGGATTGATTTAATTCTTAATATTTAAATTTATTGTACAGCTGAACTAATAAGGTCTCATTTGTTTGTCTGAAGGACTATGCGTCTGCAGACAATCTCGCAAAAAATAGTTAGATTTCTAGCGACTTTTGATGAATACGAATACCAGTTGATTTGCTGCAACATAGCACAAATATCAATATCTAATGTCTACATGTAGAATTGAAATCAAAAGATATAAAATATCCGATGAAAATTGCCTGACAAATATCCTCGGAGCAAGTTACATCTGTTTTTTGGTTGTTTTTTTTTCACCTAAGGTCCTAAATAACATCAAATTAGAAATCCTGTTAAACTTAAATATTACAATATTACCAAAAATAAGAAAAAAGATACATGTATAATATTTTTAAATGATCTTACCTGAAGAAACGGTGACTTTAGTTCCGCTACCCCAGTAGTCGAAAGCATCACAGTGCTTCACCTTCATGAAGTCCTTGTACAAAAACATGAAGGACCAGAAAAGTTGTGTTAAAGGTGCTGGATAAAGAAAATATCAATTATTTAATAATTTTTTGTAAATGCTGATGAGCCCAGTATTTTTGTGTGATGGTTAAAAAAACATTACTTTTAAATTATTAATCCTAACATTAAGATGGTATTCAGAACTAAATAAAAACTGTATTTGATTACTGTAAATGGCCATATGGAAAAAACTCACCTTATAAATAGAGTGCTTACCTCATATTGTAATAGTAAATTTGCTTTTGTATTTTTTTTCAGCATGATTCTAGATTCAGGTCAGTTTTTTTATACAGAGGTTTTTGTATTACTGTACATCATTGTGCTCCCCAGTCATCACCATGAAAATCTCTAAAACAAAAACTAGTTGGTTCCAGTGGAGAACGGGTGGGGCCTAAAGCCCAGTGGGAACGTAAAATAAAACAGAACTAAGACAGCTGGAGAACATTCATTACTTTTTCAAATACAGCTATACATTCAGGTTGTTACCCTAAAATGTACACTTATCCTTTTGTTCATAAAGTTTGAAGGAAAACTGTAACATAGCTCTACTGGAAGGAGTTCAAGGAAGGAAGTACTTGTTTGGCAAGTGATATGTCACAAATGATATCACCAATATTATTATTATATATTATATTATTAAATTAGGAAGTGAAAAAATTAAACCCTTTGTTAAGTTATTTGGAAGATATGAACTCTGCAAAACAGAACAAAGTTGAGAAAAAAAATGCTTTAATTTCGCCACAAACTTTAAGTTTACTTGCTAGCAAAAAAAAGTTAGATATTTTGCATTGATAATTTCCCATAGCTCAAACCAGTGACGTGCGGTGAGGTTCAGTGCTGGTGAGGCACTGACTAACGATTATGGACACCATGTATGTTATTGGACATATGAAAATTTCGCGCAGCCATACAACACTGGGGGACAAAAAGACTATTCTTTTACATGTCATCCATAGTTTCAGAGTTGTTTTAACTCAGTGAAACTTAGAAATGTAGGTATTAATTT